GGGGGGGGGGAAAGGGAGTAGGCCTGTTCGAGTTTGACTTCGAGTTATGTATCGGTCAAATCGAAGCTTCAACATCCCCCCCCGGGAATACCCCGGGCATTTGACACCTTTGCCGTCCCGGGAAGGAGGGAATTTTATTCTCAGAGTCTTCCACGGGGTGGGGAATTTGATCCCCATGCGTTAGGGGTAGGAAATTTTAACTGCACCCTCAATTTCATGTGAAATCTCTGGCGTGGCGAGCTGTCATGGGGGACGCGGTGTTAGAGGATTTTCGTGGAAAAGATTGTGCCTTTGTGGTCAATTGGTTACGAGGTTTGTGCCGTATTTGAAGGTGTTTAAATTTTAAGATCTTTGATATTGGATTCAGGCTTTGAATAAATATTTGTATTAAGTTGTGTTTATAACGAATTACAATACCTATACCGGCGATTCGAGTGAGCGATGATGCATGTCAGTGAATTTGTCATGATGTACTTTGTAGTAATCTCAATAGTTGAGATTTGTTTTAAGAACGCTTTGTATGTTGCATGACACACGAAGAAACTCTGAGCCTTCAGTGACCTTGTAGCAGCGATTTCCGCCGCTTTGCTGTGCACGAGACTTTTGTTCTTAGTAACTACGCTAACAGTGTTTCTCAGTTTTTGTTATATTGAATGCGGATTTGGCCCGTTTCCAACGTCGTGCTACTGCCGTGCCGAACTAAATTGATCGAATCAAATTCGACTTTAGCACGGCAGAAGCGCGTTTGAAACCAGGTCGTGCTAGTGCCGTGTAGCACGGCAAACCTTGCCGTGCTATACGGCGGCACCTGAGTGGACCCTAGTGTGGGGCATTTGAACGGCATTTTGGTCCGGGTAGGGGGAAATTTGAGCAATAATTTTCAAAAAAGTCAAATGCCCGGGATGTTGCCCCGGGGGGATTTTGAAGCTTCAATTTGACCGATACATTAGACTTCGAGTTGAAGTTCGAGTTAGACTTCGAGTTGGACTTTGAGCTTCTAGCTATTCTTAGCGATCGAGGGATCCGTGACCCCCCGGTGAATTTCGACTTAAAAGTATATGTACAATATTGGATGTCATCTAATAGCAGTATAATACGTACGTTGTCTTTATATTAGGCTGTTAAGAAAGACTTAAGAGCTGCTAAGTTTGACTTAACCAAAAAATACGTGTGAAGGCCTAAGTAAAATCTCAAGTAACTTTACGTTGCATCTCATTAAAGTCGGAAAGTTGAAACGATTTAAGAAAGTTTCAAGTGACTTGAAAACCAGCCTTAAAACCGAATTAGCGAACTTGCGGTTTAAAGCTTTGAGAAAGACGAAGCATGTCAATCAATTTTAATTATGTTGCGTGGGAAAAAAGGCTCAAGTAGACCTGACGTAAAAAAAAACAGGTTGTGTGTGAAGCTTTATTTTACTTGACGAATTTAAAAATATGGTATTTTTGTCATTTTGAGAAAGGCGCGAACCACATCATCAAAATTATGGAGTGAAAAAGAAGCAATGACAAATATAAAATACAAACAATGATGAATATCGATCAATTCATTTTTTAACTCTCAACACCTTACCCTCGACCTTCGACCCTCGTCGACAAAAACCTACACTCCCAGTTTTGTCATTCATGACTTAACGCTGACAGACAGGAGTGTAGAGTGCATGGTGAGCTATCCTGCGATCAGGCTTTTTTTTCTTTTTTCGGGAAAGCCAGCGACGAGCAAAAAAAAGGGGAGAAGGACCACATAATCGCAAGTTTGCGGTGAGACGACCACCGCGTTTTGCGCCTGGCTGTCGTGCACTTCGTGTACGGCATAATAAAGAATTTTCTCGCGCATTCTTCTTCATATTTTAAAGAGTTTCTCTCTCTAGATGCAGAAAAACTGGTTTCGAAGCTGTAATTTCACACTTTGATAGCTTTTTTTTTCCTTTTTAGCCCTCGCCTTGAAATGCCACAAGTGTATGCCAGACTACAGCAACATCATGAATATCGCGCAGCAAGGTTCAAACAGCTCAGGCATGAGCTTTTGTGCCAATCCCAGTGAAACTATCGATTGCAGTCAAGATCCATTCATAGGAAGCATGGCTGATTCCTGTTATACAGCCCGTGTAAACATAAACACGTCACTTCCCATCGGCAACATGGAAGTCTATGTCCTCAACTGTTCCGTGATGTCATTCTGTGGCATGCTTAAGAATCAAACCTGCCAAACCTTACAGTCAATGTTGAAAGGTATTCCTATGTTCGAAATTAAAAGTTGTGATGTCGAATGCTGCCAGGGGGACCTTTGCAATAATCCATCCTCATCGTCTCCAGCACCATCAACTGAATCACCATCATCATCACCATCATCAACACCATCATCAACTGATTCTGCTGCCAGCACTGGTACCACTGTGAAGTCGTCGGTGAAGAGCAGTGTTCCATCAGCAACCACTCTGTTTGGAAATCTGGTTTTGATGGCTTTGACTATTGTGAACTTTTAGAGAAGTGGACACTTTCTCATTAGAGTGAGAGACAGCACTTTCTTTTGTTATGTTTAGTTTTTATTACCAGTTTTTACATTTTTACAATTTAGAAAGAGACTCAAACAAAAATCTGATTCTGTAAGTTACCGGGTAGTCTGCCTCTTTAGCTCTAGCCTTTGCCAATTGATAAGAGGCGAAACCGTTGCCCCAATAATAGAGACCTTAACCAACAGGGCGGGAAGAGACGAGGAGTCTGGGACAAGACCGCACAAATCGCGCACACTGTTTAGGACAGACTTGCGCGAAATTGCATACCCAGTTTAGGACCTAAACGGTTATCATTAGATCCCATCGACCTCAGCCCCTTCACCTTATGAAATTTACACAACGTAGTTTTCCCCTTTAATAATTAGGGTTAAGCAATGCATTTACAGATTAGGGTTATGCACTGCTTCTACTGATTAGGGTTAAGCATTGTTTCGAAACTGGTTTGGTTCTTTTTTGGGGTTGGGGTTGATGCCATATGTACTTAAATTATTTCATTTCCGTTTAGCAAATCCTCAGTGGTCTAGTGGTTAGCGTAGTATACTTGACCATCTAGGTTGTCGGTTTGAATCCTATTGTCTTCCATATTTTTTTTTCTTTCAAATTGAAGAGACTTGCACTTTCATGAACATTTCCAGCTTGAAATATCATCTAATAGACCTTTTTACCGATACGGCGGCCATATTGAATTAATTTGATTTGAGGAGTATTTTAGGATGCCCAGGGGGCATGAGCACATTTTGTTTGTATTTTCGAGCGCTTTTCGGGACATATTTTCTTAAAGTTTTCTTAGAATAAGTTTGTAATGGGAAAAAGATCCTTGTGCCGTGTTTCGATGTAATAATGATCGCCTTTTTCCCGAGAAATATACAGTGAAAGACAATATTTCCAATGCTAAACTAGAAAAAGGCGATCATTATTACATCCAAACATGGCACAAGGATCTTTTTTTCCCATTACAATCTTATTCTAAGAAAACTTTAAGAAAAAATGTCCCGAAAAGCGCTCGAAAATACAAACGAAATGTGCTCATGCCCCCTGGGCATCCTATAATACTCCTTAAATCGAATTAATTCAATATGGCCGCCGTATCGGTAAAAAGGTCTATTGTGATGTAAAAGCAGAAAACAGTTCTTCCTTGTGTAAATTTCAAGAGGGGAGAAAGGGGCTACGTCCGATGGGATCTAATGCGGACAGAGAGGACGAAAACAATACCCTGTCGAGCGGCACATCCCCGTATAGGCCATATAAGGGAGTACCCCCCCCCCCCGATTTGAATAATCGCTTGTAAACAGGTCTTCTGGCGCTTGACTGATGAGCTTATTTAGCCGCAATGAAGAGCTTTATTTTTCTTGAGAGCTCAAATAAAATGTTCTTGCATCAGAGGGCAAATCACGCTGACTAGAAACAATAACCGCAGAAAATCAACAACAACAACACAAGCTTTATTTGCATTACTATATGAAGTTACAGTATTGCAAAAGCTTTAAGATGATGTTACAATTTATACTAATAATAATACAATGCAATGATTACAATGGTCAATCAAGTGTCTTCAGTATGATTTGATGACAAATTATTACGTAAATCATGAGTCAAATTTCAACAAATGTGAATTTACAGAAAAATTCTGTGAATTCATCAATTTAATTATTAATTCTGTTCGAGATAGCTGATTAAAATCGACATTTTTTTTTCTTCCAGTTTTAATCATGAGTTTGCGGTTGCTTATTATACGAATTTTCACTAAGTCTTTCCTATTAGTTGAATTCTAATTACAGGACAACTCGGATTAATATTAATCGGATTAATATTAACCCTAATGATTATTATAATCCAGTAATAGATCATTATAATCCAGTAATAGATTATTATAATCCAGTAATAGATTATTATAATCCATTACTAAGGTTTGAGCCGTGCCTTGATCAATTAGGATTACTATTAATCTTATGTAGGATTAATATTAATCAGATTAATATTAATCCTAATATTAGATCCAGTAATATATTATTATAATCCATAACTGAGCTTTGAGCCGTACCTTAAACGATTAGGATTAATATTAATCTGATAAATATAATCCCACATAGCTAAGTAAAAACTTGCAAGAGGTGACAGGCCACACATCTTCACCGGCGTGAAACCTTTGAAAGGTCTTGAAACCTTTTACATATTGCTCCATTGAGGAGACCTCTTTTAGGGGATCTTACAGTTTAAAATTTGAACGATGATATCGTTTCTATATAGCGGACCAAGATACGGCTCGGTACAGTGTATGTTCAGCAAGGGAAAATTGTGTAAGTGGAGCAGAACCTTTTAAATGTTCAACAGACAATTTATTCAGTTCGCGCGTATTCCTGTTGAATTTGTAGCCCGTTTATGAGATATGTCTACTCAAAAATATAATAATTTTTCCATAGCTGCTGTTATCTGAGAGTAACTGCTTTTAATATCTCCGTAAAGTTTAGGTTTACGCGATCTCAGAGAACAATGTTTAGCTGTACACAGCACGTGGTCTTTTTAAAAAATATATCCAGATCTGACACTGGTTTTGGGTATTTATCACGTCTAAGCATGATTTAAATACATTATGATGCTGTGTCCTTTGAATGTCGTCTTAAAACTCAATCGCTTTGTAAATGTCACTTGTAGTTTTGATATCGGAGGAGAGTATTTTAAAGCTCAATATTTTTCAATACCATTAGCATGTTGTTTTTTTACCAATCAATTGACTGGCTTCTTTGTGCCACTACATAATGTGGCTAGTTAAATATAAGTTTACAAGCAAGACCGGCGGTTTCGAATCTTACGATTTTCATCAGTTGCTATGTGGTGGGATGGTTGAGGTGAACTCTGAACCATTCCGTATTGCTTGATTTAGTAAGCGTTTATATATCCACCCTGGTTTGTTTGGAGGATCGAAAATGGTGCGGATTGATTGGTTCCTTGCAAAAAACCAATCAGGTTGCTGTGGGTTCGATCCGTATTTTCTCAAAGCTAGGTTGTGCTTTTATAAAGGTTTAAATTTGAAAAATAGGAGTCTTGCCTTGCTTTTTGGTAAAGTATAAAAACATCTTGTTAAAATATTTATGATGCATAAGTGTTCCCAGATAATATTTTCATCCACGAAGGGCGCCAAGAGACGGGAGAAATTCATGTTCATAGTCACCATCGTGATATGCCGGCTCCGAACCTCGAAACAGTTAGTGTCTTTGGGATTGTCGCGATTCCTACGCAGCTGGTAGTTATTCCCTTTCTTAAGGTCCCCTTTCTTGTAAAAACACATGCCCACCGCATGGATTCGCTGGCCCAGAGGCGCTTGTTCCTTTTCATTTAATTCTAGGCTCAACATCGCTACCAGCTCTAACATATGCAAGTGATCGTGTGATTGATGTGATCAGTGTTATGTCCCGTCAGTCCCTTGTTCAGCGTGTAATGTCTGCAGTTTGTCTGTCATAGCTCTGATCTGGATTATAATAGAGATTAATTTTAATCCGGATGATTATTATTAATAATAATCTAATCCTTCCAATTTTTGCCGTGCCTTAATCTATTACTGGATTATAATAATCTATTGCTGGATTATAATAATCTATTACTGGATTATAATAATCTATTACCGGATTATAATAACCATATTATAATCTATTATTATTATAATCCACGGATTAATATTAATCCGAGTTGTCCTGTAATTAACTCTAGATAACTTGAAATTTTATAATCGTGTTTAAATATGCTGTAAAAGTGTAGTATCTTAGAATGATGGATTGTTTAAAAGCTAGCGAGGTACGAAAGGCTTGTTTCACAATAGTATCCTTGTTTTTACGCAGAATATACAATATGTAATGGAGAATGTTTTTGTAAATATGAATAATTAATGGTAATCGTCCCAATTCACTCCTACTTGCAACATTTGAAGATTAATTGCTTATTTCTAAGTAACGCTTGCAAAATTTCAAGTGGGTTTTTTCAATTGAGGTATTTTCCCAAGCTATAATATCATGTTTCATATGTAGCCTCAAATTTCGCCATTGTATAGAGGATATTACACGGTGGCGAGAAGATATGAATTTTATTTTCGAGTGGCAAAACAATATTTTACGAACGAGCGCAGCGAGTGAGTAAAATATTGTTTTTGCAACGAGAAAATAAAATTCATATCTTCAAGCCGCCGTGTAATGTTCTTTTTATTACATAAACAAAAAGACATCGATAAAATAGTAGATTTTTCGTTATTCGCCAAAAAGTAACTATGACGGCTCAGATTTACAGTACAGCAATATAAGACATTGGTTACAATAATCTTGAGAAATAACACTGAGCTGAATAGGGCTCTACAATGACAAAATATAAGCAAAACTTTGAAAAATGTGTGAAGTAAAATTCAAAAGACGCAAGACGCCTACAAATTTCGAAGGAAAATTACCGCAATTACGTTATCTATAAACTCACGTGTCAGATTATGGAAAATAAACCACTCGGGTCCCGGATGTAGTTTTTATGAATTTTACGAGCGGTATATTTTCCAGTAAAACACTCGTGTCTATATAACAAATGAAAATATTGGGGAAATCATCCCTTCAAATATTTTGCAAGTAAGAGAAGGTTTTAATTTGCTAACGTTTGTGTGTTTTCTTAAACCAAAAATAGCATTAAGAGCCTTCTCTTTCAAGTGTCCGTCTGAGATGATATATAGATTTAGCCAGGGCTTAAAGCGATGCTCTCTTTAATATTTATAGTTTCCTCAAAGAAAATATAAAATCGCGTAATAGCGGAGGTCAGCTCGAAGCGCGCAAGCGGAGCACCATGGGTAAATAAATCTACCCATACCAGAAAATTTGGTAATCACGTGACCGACCGTCCGTCCGTCCGTCCGCACCACAGGCGTACCAATGTTTACTCTCACACTTTCTAGCTACTTTGGGAGCCCAGGAGAAAGCTGATTGCACATCAATGTTGTCATCAAT